ATGTGCCCATGAATAGGAGAGTGGTTGCTGAAATAGAGAGCCTGCTGGGTAGGAAGCATGGGGAATAGCCATTGGTCTTCAGAGCGAACTACACTAATTTGACCTGCCACTATGAGAAGGTTGCCAACCCCTGTTTAAGGCATCAACCTTAAAACCTTTCTCCCATAAAATGTAATATTTAGAGCTGTAGTCCTAACTACTCTACCCACTCTTGACAGCAGAAAATAGCCAGAATATTTCCAGTATTGTCAAGACTTGTGACTTTTGTTGCAAATTTGACTTGAGCTGGAAGCAATCTCATGAAGATGCCAGAAATGTCATCCTTCTCATTAAAATCCAGTCCTGCCAGAGTAGGGGTTCAGTGGCATGCTCCCCCACCTTTCAGACCACAGTGCAGGAACAGCAATTAGGGACTTTATTTTTTTAAGTCCCTAAAGCAAGTAATTATTCCTCCTTTTGCAGGTAACACTCATAGAATCATGGAGAAGTAGGGTTGGAGGGGACCTCTATAAGACATCTAGTCTAACCCCCTGCCTGAGGCAGAATCATCCCTATCCAAACCTTCCTTTACAAATCCATAATCTCACCTCTTAGCAAAACTATAATCAATCCTGACACAACACAAGACATAACACCCTAACCTGCCACAGGTAAAGAAGGGGAATCACAGCCAAATTTCTGCTTCTGTAAAAATTGTTAATATATGCTCCAGAGATCCCAAGGTAGAGTGTCATGCCCCCATTACAGAGGAAGGCAGAAGCCTACACATTCCATACAAATATGACTATGGGGTAAAACTCCTTCCTGACCCCAAATATAGTGATCAATCTAGCCAGGAACCTCAAGTTTTGCATCATAGCAGGAGCACTGGCAGACCCCAATCTAGTCAGCCACACTCAGCTGGGGATAGTAGCAGCAGCGACAGGCACATTTCCCCTCCCTGCTTGGTCCATCCAGGTGTTCCCTGCCAAATCTGGAAGTAGGTGAAACTGCCACTCTTCCTGATTAAGCCCAGCTCCCAGCAGCCCTGGTTGCAGCCATGCCTCAGCAATGGCAATGGATGGGTCTCCCCTTCCTGCACCCAGAGTCATAAGTAGAGAGGGTGAGGGGAGGAATGGGAGGGAAGGGGAATGGAGATGCCATTGAGCATGGTGAGGAAGGTTGGTTGTGCCAAAAACAGAAGGTGCGGGGGATTCTTACTTGAGGCATGGACAAAAAAGTCCCTGGCTGCTGTTCCCATGGTCTGCATGCTGTGGTGGGAGTGCTAAGAGCAGTAAAGTATGGCCACCTCTGCAGTGCCAGTCACTGCTGCCAAACACACAACTGTGTGCCTGGGGGAAGCCCCCTCTGCCAAGACGAATACTAGCCAGATTTTTTTAGCTTCTCCAC